TCTACAATTTTTAATTAATATTTAAAAGCTGTTTACTTAAGAAAATATTTTTCTATTTTTAATTAAATAAAAATTTATCAAAAGTTTTATATATAATTTGAAAATCATATTCTCTATCTTTAAATTTTTACTCTTAATTTTCTAAATTATTATATGAACTTCTTTTTTACAAATTAATAAATTTTATCTTGCATTTTCTTAAACATGTTAAAGTTATTCTGAATTATATGGTCTTTTGATTATATGATGTTAAATATATAAAATAAATTATCAGTATAAGGATCACTCAAGCAATGGCTAGTAACTTAGTTGTAATAATAGAATTTGTCAATCAAGATATAGAAAGAATTTAGTAATTATATTACTATCAAAGTTTTTAGTTACCTCATAGGATCTCGAATTCAAAGTTGTAATTTATACAAATTTGAGTTTTTAATCAGTGAAGTTATACTTAGTATAGACTTACTAGGATTATATCACAAACTTTTGAGCTATTTTCCTAAAAGACATAATACAGACTAAATTAGCTAACACTATAATTAATGCCAGTTAACTTTGCCAATACTATATTCTTTCAGGAATCTGTATTTTGAGATTTTGTAATAAAATCTATTATTATATATATATTTAATACTATTATTCTATATTTAGTATATCTTCAACATCATAAAACTAATATAAAAATTTCAAGCAATTATAGTTTTTGAGATTCATTTCTTATTACATATTTGAAATATTTAAACTAATATACTTACTGTATTCTAAAAATATATAAGTTATATAATTTAAAAGTCAAAAGAAGACAAATACAAAAAAATAAATGAAGCAACAAGATGTGAAGATACAGAAACAAACAGTAAAAATTAATAAAATAACAATCTATGAAAAAAGTGTAAGCCAATCTTTACAAAAGCTGTAATGATAACAAATTAGTATATACTGTAGGTTTAAAGACAGGAGTTGGGCACTTTTATTTGGCTTGAGCTGAAGTAATATGATATGATTATGCTTATACTATTGCAGAATAATAGTTTTTTATAATAACCAGGCTTCTGATTATATGATAAAAAATAAAGACATGCTGCAGAATCTATATCAAACACTATAACTAGCACATTAAATATATCTGATGCTAATTGTACATACTCTGAAGAATAAAACCAGAACTTTTATGAACATATTGGCTCTATACATATTAAAATAGCCATAAACTAATCTATATTATATTTAAGTATATTGCTATATAATTCTTCTTGTTTAGTTAACTGGTTCTTCATAATAGCTTTAACATCTTGTTACCTTTCCTTATCTTTAAATAAAGCCACAACTAGCAATCTAAACCCACAATAACCATCTGAGATTGGATCATACATTCATAATATCATATTTTGGGAAATTTATAAATAAGAATAGATACTAGAAAAATTTAATACTACTGTGTTACTCTTATTTGGTTTTTGTTTAGCAGAAACCTTTTTTAAAAATGCCTTGTTCTTATCTTTTCCACGAATGTATTTGTTATTTGGTGGTCAACTATGTTCACATTTGACTGTTGGCATATTAATTTTATTATAACTTGTTAAATTATCAATACTGATTGTATTAAAAGTGCTTTTATATGAGACATTTGAATTACTTGATTGTAATACTGGTACTTTTCCATATTTAGTAATATGGCTAAAAGCTTGCTGCATAAGGTCTAAAAAAGCATTGTAATAAAACTTTAGAATTTATTTAAAAATCTGCATAACATATAGGTGAGCAGCATGTTTTGTTTCTTCACAATGCTTCATATTCCAATGCTGATGAATTTCACTCAAAGGAACACTAATATGTAAAAATAATAAATAAACTAAAATAATATATGTATTAACAAGATGTTCTAGTATGTTGGAGATACAGACATGTGCAAATACTGAGAGCTTTGATATATACAATATGTGTTGTATTATCATCAATTTGCATTACATTGTAAGTATCAGCATTACTTTCAACAATCTCATAAATGCCAGACTTTACAAGTTCACATTCTGGCTTCATGAATGATTTGAATACAAATTGTAAGTAAACTAATCTCAAATTTTCCAAACCCAAATTCATACTATTATTTATATGCTTGGTTTGATGCAAAAAAGTCTCATAAGCAAGCTTTTGAGAATTTTCTTGTAATTGTTACCAAAACATTGTAAATAACCTAAATAAATGAAATTTTATAATAAAATTTAAATAATTTAAATGATAAAAACTATTTTAAAAAAATCAAATGATATATAAATCTAATACTAACCTGTTAACTGAAATAATCTAATTTTTAACTCCTTTAAGTTTGCTATACAAGCTTTTTACACACTGGCTTGATTTAATATTAAGATTTACATTGCATCTTGTGTATGATGCAAACTAGCTATTCTTATATACTATCCAAGTTTTGCACATATATGTTTTTGCTTCCAGAAATCATACTACAAACTCTTGATCAACTTGACAAATTTCTAGCTTATCATCATATGCAAACTTTTAAATAGCTTTAATAAATTCATCTATATTAACTTGCTTTTTAAGCTTGCTTTTAATATTTTTAAAAATATGCCAGATACACAACTGATGCTATATGTAAGGAAATACATTGAAATTTCTGCCATGAGTGCTAACTCATTATTAGTTATTATTGTCACTACTTGTACATTATCTGATAAAAAATATAGTAAAGATTAAAAAATAGCTTAGTAAAATAAATGAAAAAAATACACAAGTCAAAAAAATAAACCAAAAAATAAAATAAATAAAAAAGTAATAAATAATTTATCAGTTAATTCAATTAATATCTTATTCAATTGCTATATTACCCAGCAGTAAAGTTTGTTATTTCAGAGTAAACAAGGGCAAAAGCTAATGGATATATGCATCCAAGTTAGTCTATACTATAGATAACTATTAGCAGCATAGAAAATCTATTAGTCTTATAAGTTGTATTGATAATTAGAACATTCTTGGCTACTGCAAATTCAGAAATTGCACTACAATAAGCTCAAAAAATTCCTTGAATAAATTCTTCATCTTGATCTCATTCAGTATTATATACTTTTTTTAATACTGCATATCCTATAATGTTCTTATCATTATACAATGTCTTAAAGAGCATTTTAATTTTATTTAAATCTTGAAGTTTGTGCTGATAATGTTGACAAATGGCATTATAAATGTCAGGTTTGTAAATATATTTACAACTAACTGAGTTAAGTACAGTGAATATATTCTTTGTCCTAAAATCATCATTATGAAGTTTTTTAATTAACCCAAGATCATTTTTGTCCAATTTATGCATAACAGTACTAAATTTTACAGCATCCAAATAGGAATCATGAATATGCTTAAAACTAACTTGATTATAATGAATTATTGAAAGTGTTTGCAATAATTTATAGCAATTGCAAAAGAACATTTAATATGCTTTGTTGTATGTATTTTATTTGTTCTATTGTATTTTCCTTGCTTTTTATATACAAATAGTGCTTGCCTATAGTCACTATGATTTGAATTTTATGTCATTTTGCCTAAACTTACAACAGTATTTGTTTGTACAGCATATCTCTCAATAGTTGCACAAGCCTCATTAAAAGTTGTAAAAGTACATTCTAATTCTACAATACTGTTATCTACAAAAACTTTATCAAAGGGTTTAAAACTACCTTCTGATTCTGTAGTATCTCTAATACTATTATTAAAAGTTTTAAAGACATGATCTGATTCTATGATGCCTATAGTACTTTTATTAGAAATTACAAAAGCATGATCTAACTTTATAATGTCTATAGTATTTTCATTAGAAGTAACAAATGCATAATCCAATTTTATAACATCTATAGTATAATTAGAAGTAACAGAAACATGGTTTGACTCTATAATATTCATAATACTATTTTTAAAGAGTTTAAAAACACTGTCTAACTCCATAATATCTGTAGTACTATTATTAAAAGTTCCAAAAATATGATCAAACTCCATAGTACTATTATTAATGGTTTCAAAAATGTTATTTGACTTTATAGTATTTATAGTATTATTTAGAATTTTGAAAAACTCTATCTAACTTCATAACATCTACTGTACTATTATCTACATGATTTTTAAAAGTTTCAAAAACACAATCTGACTCTATAACACATATATTTATATAAGACATGAAGATTTAGTAGGTATATTCAGGTTTCATATTATTTAATGCACCTAACAAAAATAAAAATAAAAAGTATAAAATTATGATTTTTTTTTATAATACATTTTATTTTGACTATTTATTACATTATATTATGCATCAATCTTATGCATTATTACTATCCAATCTTTAATTAATACTCTGATATATAATTGTTTAATATATACAGATTATTTCTTAAAATTTTAATTTCTGAAATGTAAATTAGTATATAATTTTTTTTGCAATCTTATTGAATGATTTGAATTAATGTATGCAAGGTTACACAAAACTAATATACGAATTACTGAAAATTTTTTGCAATCTGAATTGATGTGTACAGAATAATGATTTGAACCGAAAAAAATATCCTCAATCGGTTAACCGAACTGAATTATTTTATGTCAGCCAATTACACAACCGGTTGAGATTAATAATCTCTACTTCTCGCTCTTACCTCTGAAATTTTCGGTGCTTCGCTCAAATTTTTGATTCAACCTTGCTCATTTCTCATGTTCATTCAATTCCTTTTTGGAATCTTCTCTCTCTTAGTCATTTACATACTTTATCGATCCTTCCAACCGGTTACCCAATTCTTGACTGGTTGTACCGGGTCAAGCGATTAAGAATTTGCTCAACCGGTTATTCGAAATTTATTCAGATCGGGTCGGTTAACCGATTATAGCCCATCTGGTTCAAATCATTACTCTGGCCTTTATGCAAAATTTTGACCTTTTCGAAATTCTTGCTCATTCTTGATCCTTCTACCTGATTACTGATTCTTAACTGATTAAGAATTTACTCAACCAATTACCCGAAATTTATTCAGATCGGGTTGGTTAATCGATTATAGCCCAACTAGTTCAAATCTCTAGTACAGAATAACACAAACTGATATATGAAAAAAATTATCATTAAAAAATTTGTATAATATTATTGTTTTTTTCTCTGGTTTTGAAAATTTCTAAAAATTTTAGTTATTCAATAAAGACAAAAGGTTCTTATATTTGTTTTTTATAATATTTAGCAAGACAGTTATTATTATAGTATTTTTGCAATGTTTTTCCTTTGTTGTTACAAAGTTTATAAATACTATTATTCAATTTTTCTTAAATAATAAAAGATCTGGTTCTTTTATCTTTAAATTTAGTAAATCAAATATATTCTATATTCTTTCTAATTGTCTATACTTTGTTATTTATTTTGAATATTTTAGAATAAATTTTGGCATTAAAGTATTCATTCTGTTTCTGTTATAAATTATTGGTCTTTTTTTTTGTATTATTCTGCAATTCAAATAGCTTATTAATAAGCTCAAATGCTTAGTGCAATATGTTATCTTGTAGATTATATTCTGTTTTTTCATAAAGTTTAATAGGTAATAAAGTTTTAATTGAGAGAATAGCTTGTTATTTATATACAAGCTAAAAGAAAGTATATCTAGTTGTAGCATGCTTCTTTGTTCAATAAACAAGCAGTACAGCAGGTATATATAAATTCTAGTTATTATTTTTTTAACTTTAATAAGTAATTTATATAAAATTTTATTAAGATATTCAACTATTTTATTTATTTATAGATGGTATAATAAAGAAAACTTAAGTTTTATAAAAAACTTTTTATATAATATACAAACAGTTTTACTAATAAAATTTTTTTCTTAATTAAAAAGAATAATCTTTGATGTTCTATATTAACAAATAATTTTTTTGAAAATAAACTAAGCTAAAATATTTATTTAGTATTAGATATAGTATAGACTTCTGGCTATCTTGTTAAATAGTTAGTAACAATAATAATATATTAATTATTTTGTTTAGTAATTGGTAGAAATTCTACTAGATTAATTCTAATTCATTCAAAAGCTTGTCTTATTTGGATAAAATAAAGAAATACAGTTTATTTATCTTTTAGTTTTTTTTTGTATTTTTTATATATTTTAATATATTTTTGTATATTTTAATTTATTTGATCTCAATAATATTATTTAGTTATTTTATAGTACATAACATCAGTTCTTAAATGTTCTGTAATAAGATGCTTATATATTAGGTTCTACTTTATTTAATTTGATAACATAAAAAGAATATTAAGAATTCTTTTTGTTTTTTTTATATAATAGTTTTTTCTTAGTAATAAAATGCCTAACATAATATTATATTTATCTAATCTTTTCTGTAATAAAGAGTTAAATAACTTGTCTAATTCTAAATAATTATATAAATTATAATAAAGGTCTAAATTTATGAAAAAAGGTTTTAGTATAAGGTTTAGGTCTAAAGTTAAACAGAATATCTACATTAGAGCAAACTCTTTCTGGTTTATAATAATTTCAAAATTATAAGATTGGAATTTTAGAATCTATCTTTCTAAGTATTCTTTAAATTTAGCAGATTATAATCACTTAAGAGCTAAGTGGTCTGTAATTAAAATGAATTTGACAGTTCCAAGATATTTATAAAAATGTTCAATAGCTCATACCATCATCAAAAATTTTAAGCAGATTTATATTAATATATAACATTTAATTGATATGTACTACAAGTGCATTTTAGTAAAATTCATAATTTTAATTATAAACACTTATATCTCAACAGGTGTGACATGTTCTCTGACTGATATAAAATTTTAAACACTCCTATTACTAACTTTATTATTATATATTAGTCTTCTTTATATTTCAAAATTCTTTAAATTAGCTTAAAAATTACTTTATCTATTTTTTTTAAAAAAATGTGTACTATTAGTTTCTTTCAATAACCGGCTATACGTATTAACGATTTAGTAATTACATATCGATATAATTCTATAGTTACAGTATACATAGAAATTTCACCTTCTAAGTAAGTGAAATATTTACATTCTTAAAAAGTACTTAAACTGTATAAATACAATTGTAAGTTATTGACCAATCAGAAGAAAGTTATCCATATCCACGTAAAAATGATCTACCAGCTACGGACTGTAAAATCGCGTAAAATCATGTCTTCTGATTCACCCCAAGCTACCATTGAGTGTTCTACCGAAGAGCGCGATGATATTGTTAACGAAAACGGTGAAATGTATGTACATTAACAGTAATATATATTTACGCGTTTTTTTTATTCTTACGCTTTTCTTCTTAAATTAAGGAACGCGATGGTCAATAGATTACGAAGTAGTATCGAAGGTGTGCAAAATTCTTTTAGCACTATATATTCTGTAAGTATTGAGCAAGCTTTAAGTAAATCGCAATGAGTCACGTTAATTAGAATCTTATTGTTCTTTAAGACCTTGGCAATAAATTTAAAACGATCATTTGAAATGATACAAGCGATGAACTCAATGATGGAGCAGTTTCTATTGTCCAATATTCATATTAGTAAGTAAGAATATTTATTAATTTCTAAAATATAATTAAGTAACCAAGTTTATGCAAAAAAACAGAAATAGATGCACAGGATGATTCCATTCCTTGTCTTTTAACTATAATTATATCCAACACGTGCCAATTTCCCGCACAAAAAGCATCTTGTAATCTGATGTTTCGGAAGAAAGGTGAAGATGAGGTAATGTACATGAATATATAAATCAAATTTTTATTTTCATATAATTTAGTCCTTAAGATTCATTCCATATAGGAAGCAATTATTAAAATTGAATGTATAGACTCTATAGTTCAAGGAATCAAGAATTCCAATAACTCTAATTCAGGGTATAGAATTTACAATTTACTATCGCATTATATAAGTAATACTTAATAATTCTCTGACATAGTTATGTAATAATTGCGATAATCGATAGTTTAAAGTCTTCATCCCCCCTGTCGATATTTGTGCCAAAACCGTGTATTGGATCATCAACTTCCAATGCCTTGTTCACATTACCACCACAAACGCAGATAATTGAAAAAGTAAAGTTAGTTCCGTCTGAACTTGCCCAGGTAAGAATTAATCTGTCATGGAATTTTTTGCTGTTTCGTTTATCATACATCTCTAATTTTATTTATTACATTATTAAGTATAATGGTAAAATTTCTTTGGAATTTCCGAGTCCTGGGACCGGCCAACTTCTACAAACAGAACATTCCTTTGATTTATATCTAACTAAATGAAATTTTATGTGATCATTCATTTATGGGATGTTATTATATTGTGAAAAACCTCTTAATGAGCTTATGTATTACATTTCATTTGGTATTTTATATTCGCACATAATTTCACAATAAAATATATAATCTGCAGTATAAATAATTTTTTATGGGATAATGACCGGGTTTGCAAAAATTTCATGCGATTTTTAAAGCACCAATTTGACAAATTGATCAATAACGATAAGAAATGTATAATTATACCTGATCTTCTAATATCCACGTGATATTAGTGATTATCGTTATTGTTATATTTTTTGTTACTGTATCTATTTCGATATAGATTATAGGATGAGTGAAAACCTGTAATCAATCATAGTAAATTATTAAAAGTGTTTCCAGATTTTCACACTCATACTTAAGTACGTATTGTGTTAAAGGTATCTAGCCATATCGCTCTAACTATAAATTATCATGATTTGTTTTTTTACTCATTGTATTTCTACACGTATTTTCAATATTTTTTATTATACTTACAAAAAATCAAAAGAATAATAAGTAATAAAGCTAATAAACAACTTTATTTCATTAATTTTCTGTATAAATTTCGCTTAATTTATTCATGCTATAGTGGTATTACAATTGGTGTAATCCAATGACAATTGTGGGATTTTAAAACTATGTTATGTATTATTTTTAAAGTCTATTTACCAATCGAAAAATGACAGTCAATTCTTAACATACTAAATTGATATTAACAATTTTTTTGTAATAATCCCCCGATCATTATATCAAGGTCACGGGAGGATTCATTAATAATATCCTGACCGTATGTGAATAAGCGGAAACTTCGTTTCCGCTACCCAACGGATCAGGATATTATTATTACTAATCCTTGATCAAATACCTAAAATTTGTAATACAGTAACTAAAATGAAAATAAAAAGAGTGAATGTTAAAACATTAAAAACTCTGATCTATAGTGTAAACGGGCATCAAGCTAAATATCAAAGAAAATCCAAACTACAATATATAAAAATGTTTAATTGATAATATTCAAGAAGAACGACCAATTAATAGCATATAATACCAGCTGGCCCATAATTAAAAATAGGTAACACAAAATAATGATAAAAATGATCAAGCTGAAAATTTCGAAATGCAGATGTTTTTATGTATTTAGCATTTAGACATAAGTTTAATTGCAAAATGACATACTGTTTTCTAATCTACGAATGACATAAATTGAAGAATCATGCATAACAAGTACAATTTACAAAGATTAATAATAATAATATCCTGACTTATTAGAGATAGTGTTAGTAATATTGTCATTTATTTTTCATTTTAATGTCATTTATAAAAATATTTTTTTTATGACACATCATTTACCATAATTGTTTTTATAGTAAGTTACATTGTCAATTTAAAATGACATCATTTATGCTCATTTTCATAAAAATTTTTTGACTATCATTTGCCATCACTGATTTAAACCGTACCTAATGCCTTAGAGATAAATTGTTGCAATCCACGCAAAACTATTTCAACCGATTTTAAATCTTGTTCCTCCGTTTTAACTCGTGTGCCAGTGTCTAATAATTTTTTTATTAATCGTTGTACGTTGACCATACGAGATTTCACATCAGTCATTAAATCCTGAATATCTTTTCGCTTGCGTGGTTCAGAATAAAAGCTTGATGTCAGTTGCGATGTTGCTAAAACAAAGGTCATTTCAACAAATGTTGTAGTTGTCTTCCAAGTAACACGCCAGAATTGCCAATCATCAATTTGATCAGAGCTAATGGATAATTCCCATAACTCAAGTAATGTTAGACCATAGTCCATTAATTCTAATAAGGTGGCAATAGTTGCAGGTTCATCATCTGAACCCTTTATCAATGGTTCAAAGTATATGCGTTGCTCCGACCATATCGGTATAGACATGGTAAGAACATCTCTAGTATTGGCTAAATGAATATAGGTAGCCAAAATATTACGTGCAATTATTAAAAGTTTTTGCTGAACACGTTGCATGAATCTGTTCATTTCATAAGAACCGGGAGTTGTAACATTTACATTTGGCATGGCTTTTTGAAATGCAGACTTTATACCATCCGAAATAAGTGTGGTTGATTGCTCTTTTTCATCGGGTGTCAACGGTAAAACCATCAGTGAAGTATATTTTGGATGAGTAAAAAGATAATTAATCTTGGCTAGAAGTGTTGTTAAGGATTCTTCATAATATCGAGAAATTTCAATTTCGCTAGATGTTCCTATATGAAGCGCCAATTGATGAAATAACATTGTTGTACGTTGAATTTCCTCTAGATATGGCATGTTAATTGGTAATTCACACGTCATTGCATGAACGATTTGGTTATTGAAGAGATTGACAAAGCCTAATACGTTTCTCAAATAATTGGCCTTTTCCTTACTTTCAATCGTACATAATATACTTGTTACAACTGCCAACATAAAGCACCACACTTGATGTCGATCTTCTATTGAATTTGGTTGAACATCCCCTTTTTGCAGAGTCTGCGACAACCTATTGTTGCAAAATACTGTCATTATTCCATCATGATACAGCTGTTTCGCTGCAACTGGAACATTTGCTAGCGATAAAAGGAAATACATCACACTATCAGTATATATCGGGCGATCTTTCCATGGCAAAGATAAAGAGTAGGTAAATGTGTTGAGAAGTAATTGAATTATATGATGATCTTCTAGAATCTTAAGCCAGACAGTAGGATATGGGCTACATAATGGATGTATAAGTTTTTCCAGGATTACGACCAATGTCAAAATATCTTCATCAATAGCATTATCATTTACTTTCCTACTCATAAGCGATTCCAGTAGAGCGCTAATTTCGGTAAGTAGTGAACGGCAAGTAGACTGAAATCCTGATAAGATTGACATATCACGTGATAAAAGATTATTAGTATTGCGAAGTGCGCGAAGGCATAATAATAGAGATTGTAAAAGCGGTCGATGAAACGGTGGTGTGGAACGTTCCAAAACGGAATCACGGATAGGAAAAATTACGCTCATTATTCCATTGTGCAATAGATTGATTAATTCAGCATAATGTATAGTGTGATCCGGAATAGGGGATTCCTCAGGAGTCGACAATCGTTCCAATAAGCGTAGTAGCAAAGAAGCTAAATCATCACGAATCATCATCATTATGATATGCCCATCACGCGTTTCTTCTTCAATGCGTTCTGCAATACCTTTCAAAATCGGCCAAGAAACATCAGATTTGTTTTTTAACGTCCAAAAGACACCAGCCAACCTATCAGAAGCTGCTTCCATAAGATATTTCCATGACCTAAGCAACACTACTTGCGCATCTATCCGGGACCAATGATGATTTTCTTTACATAATGCATGCAATAATCCTTCAGAATCTGGTGAATTACTACGAAGGCTCAATAATTTCCTTGCTAAATTAATATCATACATGTAATTGTCACCATAAATATGACTTAAATCATAATCCTCATTCCAACAAACAATTGTCAGTCTTTGCAATTTGAGCCAAGAAAAACTTTGTTCTCTAATGTCATAAAGTGAACGTTGAATTGTTGAATCATAGTCGATACGTGTAAAATCTTTAAGCCATGTTGTAAGCTTATCTGAATCCTTAATTTCAGCAAAAATTGTTCTCAGACCGCCTGAAGGAATAGCTTTGAGAAAATCGTTTGCATCTTTCGAACCATTAAATGATGTCAAAATATAAATTTCATGAGCTAATATTCTCAGCACCCGAGCCTTAATATTAAGATGGCAACATACTTGCGCCACCATATCATTAACATCACTAATAAGATGATCTTGAACTAAATCGAAAACTTTATGTGATTGTATCTTTGTTTTTAAGTCCCCAAAAAGTATTGCAGCTAAATTGTCCCAAAACTTATTATCTTCCCGTAATGTTTTCAAAATACTTTTGTCAAAGTTCCGAGAATTTTCCCATAATACATCAAGGAATCTTATTGTAGCCAGTAATAAAAACGGTTTTTCTTGCTGAAGGTTTTCCCAATCTTGTAGAAAGTCGAGAACAATTCGAATAATTGAATCAAAAGTAGTAGCATCCGCAGCTTTACCTTTACCTTTGTGGTCAAGTACATCAGAGAAAATATAGGACCCCTGAATAACTAGCCCAATATGCACGTGAGTCGAAATAGTGAAAAAATTTAAGATAGCAACCTGAAGAGTTGGGGCTTGAACCTCTGATTTAAGCCTATGTATAAAAATATTTATCAAGCTTTTTGATTCGGTGTCATTTCCAAGAAGGCTACCTAACGATGTCCATTTTGGTAATGCTTTTATAGCTAACTCAAAAAGTAAAGTCAACAACTCGCAGGATAATATCGAGATGTTTAAGTTGTCGGTACGTTTGATAAATGATGCAATTGTTGCAACTAATCTATTATTATTATAATTTTCCGAAGATCTTTCCAACAAGTTAACTTCCATCCAAGAGACTTCAGTGCTTTTTATTCGTGTTTTTAACAGCCTTAAAAGAAATGACAATGTCAACTCTTGTAATTCGGTTGAATCCTGCGACATTTGATAGTTTGAAACTCTCTCTACATAATGTCTTTGCTCTTTGCCTCTTTCAATTATAGAAAATAATGGAAGTGCATGGTATAAACCACCGTCATTTAAAAAACTTTTTGACAAATTTTTTCGTAGAGAATTTTGTAACGGGCTTTCTTTAGTAGATATCATAGGATCAGTATGTTTAGGAATTTCATTTCCAGGTGGACATCCCAACATGATTCTATTGAAAACTTCCAAGCATTTGTGGCCAATTTGAATATGTTCCTCCGAATTATTGTAACGCCAATGATCATACGAAACAAAAATAGCGTTCAATATATAATATGTACAAGAATGTAGCACATCTAAAGGACTCTCCGTATCCGGGACCAATTCAACCTGCTCAATATTACCCAATATACGAATTACTAGATCTAAAAAGGCGAGTGTCACTGGGTAATTGCCAAAAATGCATTCACGTTCCATTAGCAAATATTGCAATTGATCAATTGATTGAGTATAGTTAATAGATCCATCAGTTGACACTATCTCTGGTAAAAGCCTTGATTGTTTAAGGTATGAACAAATTTCATTACCAAAGTGAGGTAATAAAGCTCTCAAACACCTTAAACAACAAGCAATTAATTCTATTTCATCATGATTCATTTTATTCAAAAAACGAAAACTATGTTTAATCACAGCAAAAATAATTGATGGAAAATCTGCATAATATTTGATAATTTCTTCGCGTGATTCTAAATGTTCAATAAATGGTTTGACTAAATCTGGTGCATATATTAAAATTGTATGCAAAAGTTGTAAGATATTCCTAATTCTAGAAATAATAGTATCCTCTGATATCGGTGAAATAGATGCTGACTTGTCAATCTGTGTCATTGGAAAAGATTCCAACATATTTCCGAAAAGATGCCAAGCCGAATAATTGAATTTCCAACGAATTATCTTGTTCCCATTTGTGAGTGAGACTATGTTACCATATGTACCTTGCGGAATTGTGATTGCTTTTTGGTAAACGTCTTCAAATATTTTAATAGGTTGGCAAGAAAATACCACATATTGACCAGATTCAACAACATTTATTTGTCCATCATTTGCCAAATAACAACACACAGAAAACGATTGTAAAAATTCAAACACGTATTTCGCTGAATCTGAATTGGCGGACAAAGCAGTAAGCAATCGTATGAGTGGACCAAATTGCTGTGGAAACCTGGCTATTGCCAAATCCAATAATGATCTTCGTTTAGGATGGTCGAAATCCTCTTCCCAAAATTCTTTACATGGGCCGTACTCTCCAAATACTAGTGCAAAACATTCTACAAGACCTTCATAATCTGGTAAATGGTTAACCTCATAAGCCTCAAAGATAGAAATGAAAAAATGCTTAAATACTAATTTATAACCGGTAACATATGATTCTTCTGGTCGAAAACATGAGCCGGTGAGGACAAGGTGAATATACTTAATGACGTTAAGCTTGAACGCTTTGACACCAAATTCCCTTGTTATACTGTTCACGATCGTCTCAAGGTCCTGATAAGTATAAGGCCAACTCGTTTCGTCAAAATATGTCTGTAAATGCGACAAATATGATGACCAAATCCATAAAAAAATTCCATGTGTTTGATCGTTGCCCATTTTTAGCGCAACTTCATTGATAGCCATAATATCTTGTTGTGAGGCAGGTCGTTTGAGAAGCGAAGGAGCAGAAGGTAGAATACTATCAACATTAAATTCAACAAATAGGATTATGATTACCAAAATTTGACTAAGGTCATGGGCTTGAGATACGATTTCTTTCCCAACTGAATCAAGGAAACGGTCAGTAGGTTGATCACGACAAAATCTTGTACTAATCGAATGGTTGAGAAACTTTAATAACAGCAGATGAGATGACTGATCTGGCGACTGTACAGCATATCGGAGGAACAAAAGATCCAATAAAACCTTTTGCTCTTTTACAGACTGAGTGGCCCATAATGTTGCTAAGTCTGCATCCAAAAAATTTGGAGGTACATCTTGTTGAGATTTTCGTTTAAATTGATCAAATATTCTATCTTTAAAAGTATCATCTAAAAAATGGTTCTGAATTATTTCTATTGCTAATTCGTGATATACCTTATCAGGATCTAACGCTAAAAAAAATAGATAGCATAAAATTTCAATAACATTAATTCGTTCTTCGAAATAATGCTGAATTATCTTTTCTCGTAGCTCATCACTATTCCATTGTTCCCATGTCACATTCTCTTCTTTGAAACTACAGATCAAGTTTTTACAAACAGACGAATCAAGTAGAAACAAGCTACTGAGAGAGGCTTCAGTAAGATCAAAAGCTTTATCACTCGCCAGCATTGGTGGAGCAGCCAAAGTCTTTTTATCGTATGCATCTAGCATTTGTTGCAAATAGTCCAAGTTATCATTTAAAATTTTATCCATAACATTTGGCGGACACTGACCATCGGATAAAATCAAAGTTGTACGAATGGTCCCGAACGATCTACGAGTACCAAAAGCAAGTGCATAGTTGCTAGGCGGAACCATTTTACGTAAATGGCGAAAGGCGAAATCTAAACCCAGCGAAAGGTGAAACCCTCGGCAAAAGGCGAAACCTCCCCAGAGAAAGGCGAAATTCTTGACGAAAGTCGAATCTTCTAAAGCTTTAGAAAAGCTGAGCTATGTTAACGAATGTGAAAATTTTGTGTATTATGCAGTTAGATATAGCTTTTTGTATTATGGCTGTTAACATAGCATGTGGCATATTTAAAGGCACGACAAACATTGCTTGCACTTCTCCAGTATCGCTATAACAAGTCCCGGTCACGTGATGGCGGCAAAATTCTTTAACGTCGAGGTTAGAATTATATTAGAAGTTCACAGAACATATAATAAAATCACTCAAGGAAAACTTTTTGTACTAAAAGAAATAAGCAAAACGTTTCCTTTGAATTCCCTGATCGTGTTACGTTACACCTGATGAAATCTGGTACATACATGAACATTTGGACGCGTCAAAAATCAACTAGCGAAAAAGTTATTATTGTATATTGTATGTATAAATGTATGTAGCCAATCAAAATCCTAATCTGTATCGCTATCGCTATCAACTTTGTAACGAATTTCTAAATAGCAATCTTATAAAATTTATTGTCGTGACTGATGCTGAAATTTGGGATGTCGATTTGAAGATATAAACCTACTAAAATCCACATACACGCTTTATTTATCAATTCTAACCAAACCCTTAAAAAAAAATCACCCCCAAGAATTTTAAAATTTCATATCAAAATAGGTCCAAATTTCAGCATTTATTGAGGCAAAACACTCGGTTACATCTAAACCAATTTACCTTGGCTGAATCCTCGAGATTTAAAGGTAGTTCCCAAAATTCCGCAGAAAATCCGTCGAAATATCAGTAATCGTTTATAATCGTCGACAAATATATTAAACTAAATATATAGTACTTTTGTCAAAGTGAACCTTTTTACTTTTATTCACCATACATACAGAAAATCACGCGATACTACAATTTTGCATGTAAAATGGTCAAGTTCTTAATAAAAAGAGTAAAAATAAATAAGCCCTATATATTTTGTAACTTTATTGATTAATTCACAATCATTGCATTTTATACATTGTCTATTTTTTTCAATAAATAAATTCAGTTCGTTTTTTTGCAAAACTTCATTTCATTGTTACCTATTAAAAAAAAGATTGCATGGTTAACCTGTGAATAACAATTAATAAAAAATTAAAAATTGTTATAAACTTAGAATATTACCAATTCTTCTCCAGCAGTAGGGTGGATCGCAACTGTATTATCAAAGTCTGCTTTCCTAGCGCCCAGTTTAACAGCAATCGCAACTCCTTGTAACTATAAAATAGGTAAAATATAGCGTCATTAGATTTCTGGTAATGTTAAGTGAACAAGAGAAGACCAACGTAAGTGTATAATTACAATTTCAGCAGAATCTCTTCCAACTAGATGAACGCCAACAACCTTTTCTTCTTCACCCACTACGACAAGTTTGTATGCCGTTGCGGGTTCTATTAAAGAATTTTAAATATTAAACGATTGTTGATTTTATGCATAAAAAAAATGAAAACTTTTTTTTAAAAAAAAAAAAAAAATTACTGTGTTCAGTCATAGCATAATACATATTTACGAATTTAGAAGTGTAAGTTTTGACATTTTCTTCTCCAAACTTTTTTCTTGCCTCAGGTTCTGTCAAGCCAACTGTTCCACAAGTGCCGTGAAATATGACAGTTGGAATATTGTCATAGTCAAGTTTACTGTTTTTAAACTCTGGAGGACCAAAGAGACGATCAGACAAACGTCTCCCTGCAGCAATAGCAACTAGATTTTTTTTTTAAAAAAAACAAAGGTTAACAAAAGAATATGATACACATTAAGCAACACGATTACCTACCGGGTGTTAACTGCGCCACTCCACATACGTCACCTAAAGCATATATTTCTTCGACAGTGGTATTTTGATATTCATCACTAATGATATACCCTTTACCATTGAGTTTAACGCCAATAGTATCCAAATTTAATGCTTCAACATTTGGGGCCCTTCCAATCGCCCACAAAAGAGTATCAAATTCTTCTACCGTATCATTCGTTTCCTTTGAGGTAAAACTAACTTTCATGGGACCGGAAGGTGAATCACGTGATAGGGATTTTACATGACCACACGATAGAACGCGTATACCCTCTTTTTTTGACTGTTCAAGGAGCGTGTCTTTGATAATTGGATCAAATGTACGTAAAATTTCATCCGAACGGCTAAGCAAAGATGTATTTGTTCCTGAAAATTTATACCGGAACCAACATTACATTAGTAATTCATAATTTAAAAAAAATTTAAGGTAAAAGCATACCTAAGGTGTTGAATATTCCAGCAAGTTCGACTCCAATGTATCCTGTACCAACGACAAGAACTTTCTTGGGCTGCTCTTCAAGATCAAAGAACCCATCACTCGTAATCCCCAATTCAAAACCAGGGATTTCAGATGGTAAGCGAGGGCGACCACCTATTTATAAATTTGTTAATAAATTTTAAATATAAGGATATGACAAAAAAACGATTAAACGATTTACCAGTGGCAATTAGAATTTTTTTCGCTTCTATTTCCTCGACCTGTCCATCATGTTCTACTCTTAACACATTTTTAGATACGAAACTTGCCTTTCCTTTAATGTATTCAACATTATCCTTGACAAGGTTATTAACATAAATGGAATTTAAGCGTTTAATGTATGCATCACGTTTTTGTTTAAGTATACTCCAATTGAATTTTGGAACCGATGATAGATCAAAACCATACAATTGCGCATCGTGTAAAGCTTCAGCGACAGAAGCTAAGCATATTTGTATGTTATTAACATATTAATAAAACAATTTAAGTTTGACATAGTATGTCCTTTCAATCTTACCAGTATTAAACATGACCTTTTTAGGAACGCAACCGACGTTAACACAAGTTCCACCTAGTCGACCACTTGATTCTATTATGCCAACCTTAAAGCCATATGAACCAGCGCGCCTGGCCGAAGCTAAACCACCACTACCTCCACCAATAACAAGATAGTCATAATGGCTACTTTTTGCAATAGGAGGCATAGATGAGAATGTTTTTGAAAGTTGTAAAGTGCGATTTCTTGCAGATACGATTGGGTCTTTGACTTCTATCAATGTTCTTAAAATTCCTGAATAACACGAAATAAATCGATGCATTAAAAAATCTTCTATTTAATATTTCGGAGATTTTTGATTAATAATTCAATGAAGATCTGGAAGGTGACAGATCTTACGTAATGTTTGAATACCAAGATCTGCCACTTTCCTTATAAATTTTTACCAGAGTTAACGATACTGATTTTCGTAGGAGGATATTTTGTATATGATGCCCGATATGTCGTGTTTTGGTATGATAAATAAATTACTATAATAAATAATACTACAATTATTTTTATCAATATGTTAAAGTTTACTGTGCTCATTTTACAAGTAAATAATTAATCCTTCCGTAAATGGTTAAATATATATTTTTTCGACATCATTTCCCAATTTTCCCACGTAAATATAATTTATCTTGAAAAAATTTTAACGAGCATTTAAATTTGATATCAAATAAAGATAAATTCTATATTTTCATTCTCCCGAATCACATATAGGGTTGATTAAATCACGATTCATTTTTCATTACTCCCGCAATTTCGCACCATGTATTATCGCTATATTTATACAAATAACGATCCGGGGCGTTCTTTTGGGTAAATACGTACGGTAATAACGAAGAGTAGTTTTACTATGAAATACATATGTATAAGATCTGCCTCCTTAAAAATCTATACATAAGCACATAGGTAACATCTACTTCCTTTCTGTCGCTAACAATTCACACCATCTCTTCTCTCAATGACGACTACGCAGCCTCCACTAAATATTTATCAACCATAACAATATTTGTTAAACCGTCGCTTAATACGTAAGAAATACATGAGTGCCTATTGGTTACTAAAATAGTCCTAAGATTTAATCAATCTCTTAATTAAGAAACACAATGAACTTCTATTGGTTACTAAAATAAGACGTATCATAATATTATCACATAGATATAATAATTTTTAATATTATAAATAAACGTAACTATTCCAGAGTCTTGTGAATTAGGTCATGTTTAGTTAATACTGTATTATTGAAAAGAATGATAAGGGCAGAGATAATATGTACATATATATATAATTTTAACATATATATAGTTAACTTGTTCAGTATATAATAATCATTTTAAAATTAAAAAATAATTATTTTTGAAGTCACATCTTCAAAATAGACAAAATTAGCAAAATTTTAACTTAGTTTTTAAGCTAAATTTTTCTTTTTTTGTTCTATATAATCGCAAAAATTATTTTAGTTAAATTAAAAAGGATCTTTAGCTTAAATTTTATAGTAAATTCATGTTTTTACTATGTATAATTTTTATTATAAACAGCATTCTAGAGGAAATGCTTTTTGTTTGATAATAAATATTACATCAACTTTAGGTCACAAATTTAATATCTTGGTTTTCATAACATGAAATTTTTAAATTTTTTCATATAATTTTTTGAAATTTTTTTTTTAAAAACCCACCCGGTTATTAAAATATATAACGATAAAAAATTTGTTTTATAAGCTTTTGTATGGCCTTATACGTACAAAGATTTTTTCATAAATTATTTTTAAAAACTGTAATTCGATTGGTTAATTATCACGGGTAATTACGAAAAATTAACCAATCAGATGAAAATCATCTCATGAAAATACTATGGTTCTAAAAATTTTTATAATATTCTGATGTGGATTAACGGTTAAGGCGTGATAAGCCATCAGTGGGGCTGCACTGTATGGCCTGAGTTCGTAACCGGCTGCGAGTGTTTGGGGACCGTGGGCCTCATTGTAATTTCTTCAGTTGAAACATCAGGATAAAATTGTTTTTTTTTTATTGATCAAAATTTTTTACGTACGTACCCCTTTTGGAAAACACCTCGCTAACTTTCTAAGATCTTGTAGAATGAACCCGGATCAGAAGGTAGAAAAGTGTTGGTCAAAGACTTCGTTGACCTTTTGGATCTTAAAGATGAACTTGAAGTGGACTATGGTGAAAGCATTTTTATAGCTAACTTAATTGGAACTTGAAACAGAGCCAAATAGAAAAGCATTAGTAGAAGACTTTGAAGAACACCTTACCGACTTCTTGGAGTCTTAAAGTCTGAGCAAATAATTTCGCAAGAACACTTTGCTAGCTCCTTTGGAACTTGAAGAGAATGAATCCGGATTAAAAGATGGAAAAGCAGAGGCATTTTACAGGAACGCTCTTGAAATCTTAGAATTAACTTGAATCAGCAAGAATACCTCACTAACTTCTTTGGTTCTTGGAGAATAAAGCTGGATCGGAAAGTGAAAAAGCATTAGCAGAAGCAATTGTAAGAACACTTCGCTGACTTTGAATCTTAGAGGAAATAAACTTGGAATAGACAGTGGAAAAGCGTGAGCGCATGCACTTTGTAAGAACACCTTGCCATCTTCCTGCATCTTGAAAAGAATGAGTCTGGATTATAGATGCCGACGAAACTGATTTTTGAAAAGGGATAACAAATAAAATTTATATAGTTATGTTCCTTATAATTTCGTCTATTCAAAAAGGTATCAAAAAATTTCGTCTTTTAAGTAAAACTAAGTCAAACCAATTTCATCATCTAATTTTAATTTCGGGTTTTAGACTCTGAAACAATTTCGTCCACATGTATAATCTGGATCATAAGGTAGAAAAGCATTAACAAAAACGTTTCTCACTGACTTCTTTGAATCTTAGAGTGGATCGACAGTGGAAAAGCATGAGAGGATGCACTTCCTCACTATCTTCTTTGTATCTTGTAAAGAATGAATCTAGATCAGAAGATGGCAAAGCACTAGCAGTGAATTCTTTAAACCTTAGAAGAGAATGCACTTTGCAAGAACACCTCTTCATATTCTCTACATGTTGTTAATTTAGGTTCGTATAAGGAACATCTATTAATCTAAGTACCGGTATTTAAAAAGAATTGTTCATGAATATTAATTTATTTGAATTTTTTTATTTTTTTTTTACGTTAATTTCGGTGAGTATAAAGAACATCATCTAAGTTTTAAAATTAGTTATTCATTAATATTTACATTTTAATCGCAATAACTTATTTAGATTTTGTAAAGAAATATGGATCTTTGCCTTGAAAATCACGTTATGGGACGGACATAGTAAATCATATGTCCCATAACATGATTTTCAAGAAAAAGACTCCACATAGTAATCCAATATTTAAATAACTACTCAAGCACATGAATACATTTTTACTATTTTAATTTTCTTTTCGAATTAATTTATGATCCTAATTGTTTTGAAATACGCTATTCAAATTCAAGAATACTTGTTATTAAACTTTATATAATCGGTAAGTAAAAAATATTTATTGACCTATGTATAAATTAAAGCGAAATAATTAATATAGATACATATTCTAATCCTCTAATCTAATTAATAATAATTATAGAGATTTTAGTTATGCAAAATGTGCGTATTGTAATGAATATATCACAAGAGAAGCATACTGTTGGGCATGAGATCATGGCAATTTAAAAAAGTGACGAGTGGAAATAAGGAACTTGATGATCACGTAAAGGAATTTCAATTAGAACAAATGCGTAGCCAAATGGATTGTATTTGATGAACTTGGTGACATTGGTGTTGTATTTTCTGGATACCAACAAAATAATTAAAATTATATTCATTCAGACTTTTCAATCATGTAATTATTCAAAATTTTAAATAAATAAATAAATTTTATATTCATTTATTATATATATACATTTTTTTCATTTCGGTTACATCGTGCTGCAAAATGTAAACTTGGAAGTGGAAACCTAAGCTTTCGCTGTATAAGTTTGGATCGTTTCGATAGCATATACACTTTAATATTTTATAGTATTTTTTCTATTACGAAGACCAAAAATTTGTATTATAACTGGTAATGCAAACGGCTTGCTCAATTCATACAGGGGTCATAGGTAGAAGTTCATCTGATTGGCTAATAAATTCAATTTAATTTTACATTATTTATACACTTTAGAATCTTTTTTTTAAAAAAACGAAAACCAATCATAATAAAGTAAAGAAAACTATATAGAAGGTTTCATTAGAGCTGTAGGACTCCATAGTCAAAAATAAGATCTAATTCTCATCCGTTTAAAAAAATTAGCTTAGTAAT